GAAAGCTTATGCTCCAATACGTCTGTTAGTCTATAAGGTGCCACAGGACTCTTAGTCTGGATCTGTAAAAAGCGACAAACACGGCTACCCCTCTGATACTGTTCTCATGAAACAGATCTAAAATATGTCAAAGCCTCATTATTATTTTACATTTAATGTTAATAGTTTTCTATTAAGTTTTTTTAAATAAAATTATTTCATGTCACTTAAAAACTAAGTTACTATGCATTCCCTTACAGCCCTGGAAATCAGAACGTGACATCATTGTACTTGTGCATGAGAAGGGGAAAGTGAAATTGACCAGCCAACTTACTTTTATTGTCCAAACTTGAGTGTGATAAAAAAGGTAAATGCAACATTAATGGTGAAAAGTAAACTTTAATTTTTTAGTATTATTGGATTATTAAAACAAATAAGAGAATTTATTTTGTAAAACTCATGTTTCTTTTGAGCAAGAAAATAGTAGCCAAGAAAGGTAATACAAGACAACTTTATTTTGCATATTCTCTGTCATGCATGCTGTACTCAAAGTGCTTTACGGAACTGAATGATATAATAGTTAAATAACAAAGGGGGAGAAAAATTGAGGTAAAATTCAAGAATAATAGAGATTATTTAAGATAATGCAAAATCTGCAGTTTTTCATCCAGATCATGCCACTAGTCTGTCTGAATGCTGTCTTCTTGTTTCAGCATTCTTTGGTTTCAGAATATAACTTTACCTGCTGCAGAGGTAGTATTGTTTCACTAAAATCATGTTTAATATAGTAAAAGCTGTTGTGTGTGCACTGCTGGAGTATATCTGGAATGGGATTTTATTGGTTTCATACACTGATGCAACTTTGTTAGCTACATCTTGGCTGTTTATGAAGATGAAGGTCAAATATGGGCTAAGATACATGCAAATTTTAAGTGATATTAATGTTTTTTTTTTATGAAAAATGACCATTATGTCTTAAGGCCTGTAACTAGCATAACTTAGTTTTGTTCTGCTCTGAAAAGCAGCTCTGTAAAAATAGCATTGATTTTCAGTTATCTTGATTTCCATGTAAATGTGCTCAGAATACCAACAGGGGTTGAATTTCAGTGGGATTTGGGTGCCTAACTTGCTTAGGCTCCTCTGAGGATCGTCACCAAGATATTCATTTAAATACCACTGACGCAAACACAAGGTAGGGTCTCTTTTCATGCACTATTATTCATAATAAAGGTTATCCAGGCCAGATTAATCGCTTGCAGACCTATGGTTCTCATTATGATAACTGTTCAAACTCAGGTGTCAGTGAACGGAACTTGGTGAACTGTTCTGAGGATTCACAAGGAGGAGTGGAATCAAGACTATGCCTCTTAACTACATTAGCTCTGCATTGCTAACAAAAGTACAAAGCAGTAAAAATGTACCTTTTAATTAAAAAAACAAACACAACCCCTATCTCCTCTGTGGAAACAATGCTACCATTACTGCACATTAGTTTAACTTTCCCTCAACCAGCCTTATCTTTCACTGATGCTGCCCTCTGTCAGGAGTGCTGGAAGCTCCCGAGAAGTGTGTGGGTGGGCGAGAAGTGTGTGGGTGGGGCCCACCGGTGCCTGAACCGTGGCCCCCCCCCCCCCCTTCTTCTGCTTTTTCCCCCCCAAGCGCTGCCCACTGCTCATTCCTCTCTGCCCCACCCTGTCGCTCACCCTTAAGGCAGGAAAAAATTGATGGGGACATGGCCCCCTAGCCCTCCCTCATCTCGCCTGCTCTGGCACCTCTACCCTCTGTACTTGAGAGGAGCTCTTTGTAGTGGCTCTATAGATTTTTACACTGATTTTACATCAAATTTGCTATGTCTGCAAATCACTTGATTTTGTCCATTTGTTTTATAGGTGTGTATCGGGGCAGGCACTGTCTTTCTTATGTGTGTAGACTACCTAATAAAATGAGACCTTGATCCCTGATAGGGATCTCTAGGCACTACTATAAAATAAATGATTCTGAAAAAACAGAGAATAGATGTGTTGAGTGAGGTTATAATCTTGCAAGGTTTATGTATATGCTTAACACCTGCATTGAAGTGAATAGGGCTACTCAGAGTGCATACAATTAAGTATATATGTGAATCTTTGCAGGACCAGGGCCTAAGAAAATACTACTTTTACTATAACTGTTTACTGTACTCTATGAATATCTCCAAGACAAGAACACAGCTACACTGAAGAATTCCCTCCCTGTTACTCTTGTCTTCTAACAGAATAAAGGAGAAAGCAATCCCCATTGCAAAGTCTGAAACACCAAGGATTGATTTGTTGTTGACTTGGCAATAACTTGGATTATAAAGTGAAAATCCAAAAATGGCTTAAACTAATGCCAGATTAATTTGATTTACTATTTTAATGTGTTCTTTTTTGGTTTGGATATATTCCATGTTGGAACCCTCCATTTGCCTGTGCTCATTTTTTTTTTTCTCTTAAGAATTAATTTTCATGTAAGTGAATTTTTAGATTTTATTTATTTATTTATTTTTGTCATGGAACTTGGAGAATGAAAAACTGGAAGTGTTTATAAGTGGCCAGAATTGATGCTTTGTGACTTGTAACTGATAGGAATACAGGACACCCAATTAAAAAAAGATCTTGAACTATTACCATTGGAGCTGGTTTTGGGAGGGAGGGAAAGGAGGGAGATATTTTTCATGAAAAAGTTTGTGGAAAAACTTATCCCTACTTTTTGTTAAAATTTGAAATACATTTTCAACCCTCTAATGTGCATTTATACACTTCACACAGCCCTTAGTAAGCCATCACCTATGCCATTTTTCCTGTTTTCTTAAACAAGCTTTGCCTATTGGAAAGGTGTTAGCTCAAACATCAAAATATGGGGTTACAGTTAAGACCTACTAGTTTTTATGATGTCTGACACGTATTTGTTTCATCCTGAGGGTGCTGTGAATAGGTCATTGGTAATCATGTGGGAACAGTGATGGTGTATTTTTTTTTTAAGGTGAAGATTGAAAATTATTGAATGTTGAAAATATTTTTCAAGTTGAACTCCTTTTAAAGTGCACTTTACTCTAATCATTGGATGATTCTGCCTTAAGGATTGACAAGACTGCATGTTGCTCTCTTCTATGCAAATATTCTGAGTAATGGTATAAAGCTGCTTTAGATTCTCTTGTGGAGCTATTAATGATTGAAAATTCATTGCCAAAGTTACGTTCTGTACATTGGATTTTTACCATGTTAATAAGGAATTTTGGTTGGTTTTAGATACCACATTGGAGCTGGATCCTGTGTAAGTTTAATTAACAGATTTTTTTTTTTATTATTGAGGCCAAAAATTGTATTCTCAGCCTGCTTCTGCTGAAATTAATGTCTTAGGTCACTAAATTGATGTACCAACAAGACAGAGCTTTTTATTCCATATAAAACTAGGGAGTTAAAAAGAAGTCTGCTTAGGTTAAAATTTATTAAACTTTTTTTTCCTTTGAGACATAATAAAACTACTGGTAGGAGAATCTTGGAAATCATTTAATGTATATCTTTGGTGTATTATAAGTCCACTCCTTTGACATGTTCTTTATCCAGTCATGATCATGACTTTTAAATTGTAGCAGTCATTTAAAAATAAACTCTGAAAAATTGAAATGTACAAGTTGTAGGAACTTTCCATATCCCGCTTCAAAGCCTTGCAAAGAATCATTACAGGCTGGGAGGAAATCCCTCAACCTAACCTCGCACCGCTTCTCATGAGCTGTAATTAGACATCAAGCAATTTGAGGAATTTATTTACAAGTTGTGTTTTTTTTTTTTAAAAAACAAAAAACAAACAAACAAAAACCCCAAACAAAACCCACCACCACTTTCTAAAATGTGAATAGGAAAAAGAATTTTGCCCCAATTTGTTCTTTGGATTCTTCTCAACTCAACATTATTCCTGTGAGTTCTACTACTGCATTGTTAAAACTATAAGTAGCTCAGGCCCAAATTTTGACCTACTTTTAAAATTATCCAGTGGAAAATTGCCTTTGGATGCATGGGATTCCTGCCATTTGTTGCTCCTGGTTCCTCCTAATGGAGACTTTCTCTGCATCATTAAACTATGTACTTGCATGTCAACAGTAGCTTTCATTCAAGAACCCAGAGCATTAGCTAAATAATGAATTAAAGGTTAAAACAACCCTCTGAGATTGGGAAGATATCCATTTTACACCTGGGGAAATTGTGTGACCTGGAGTCCCTTAGCACGTCAATGGCAGAGGAGTGCCGCCCCGCCGTAACAACCCCCGCCCCTCGAGCGCAGCCCTGCCGAAACAAAAACAACCCCACCCCGAGCGCCGCCCCACCGAACCAAAACCAACCAACCAACCAAAACCCGAGCGCTGCCCCGCCACCCCAAGATTGGCCGCCCCAAGCACGTGCTTGGTCGGCTGGTTCCTGGAGCCGGCCCTGCAGAGGAGAGCAGTCTTCATGGGATACATTGTTGAATAGCTTTGCAGTTACATTATATGTGTATAAAGACAAACTTACCTCCCTGAGAGTTGGAGGGAAGCTCTGTTTTTCTAGTTGGAGGGAAAAACTTCAGTCTTCTTTCTCCCTATCCCCTTTGCCAGCTGCAGGGAAGCGGTATATGTGGGGAGTTTTTACATCCCATTTCACTGAATTTGCAAGTGAAATATATACTGTAGGACACCAATTATGACATGGGCTCTAGCAATTGTCGGCATTCTCTAAAAGTATCTAGAATCCTGAAGGAGCCTCTGTAAGCTCTGTGCAACAAACTTTCTTTTAGTATTTTTTTCTACTATAAAAAAGATGCTCATGCTGCACAAACAATGGTGCTTGAAAATGGGAAGATCTTTCTGGATCTGAGTCAGACTCAGGCCAGAAGAGATGAATTTGTTGCCACAGTTCCTTTTTTAATGAGAAGGCATGGAGATTACATATTTTAGATACCAAAATATAAGAATTTCTGTACTTTGCAAAGCAGTACAGTTTCCATTACCTTGATTTGATGATGAAGAAACTGGCAATTACTTGGTCAGTTGTACTGTATGGCCGAATGGATAGACTGGACTGGGATTCAGGAAACCTGGGTTCTGTTCCTGGCTCTGCCACTTGCCTGTTGTGTGACCTTCAGCAAGTCACTTCACCGCTCTCTACCTCAGTTTCCCTATTTAAAAAATGGAGATGATGATATGGACCTCAGTGACCTGCTTTGAGATCTACTGATGAAAAGCACGATGTCAGAGTTAGTTGTTGTTAAAATATCTATTACAAATTGTGAATTGATACGAGACTCTTGTTCATGTTTGCCTTGAAAATACTTTGCTCAGTCTTGGGAAAGAGAGTCATTGTGGGTTTTTTG